TCCCGAGCTCCCACTCGACGCTTCAGCGATAGCTCAGGTTCCCTCACTCCCCCCGGGCACCGGCCTTCTCATCCGGCTCCCCCCACACCACTGCTGCTGCCTCGGTCCCACAGCGACCCAGGCATCACCACCTCCAGCGACACTGGTGAGCCTGCCCCAGTCCCCCAGTAGGAAGAAGGGGGGATGCCCCTGGGGCTTAGGATACTGGGGCCCTGGGGAGGGTTCAGTCCTGTGGCCGCCCTACTGGGGTGGCCTAGCATGCATAGCTTAGTAGCTGAACAAGGAGGGTTTGTGTTTTAGAACTGGGAATTCCACAGCACCCAGCTTGGGCAAGTAGTCACGGAATCTTACTCACCAAGCCTTATTTTCTCACCTGTAAGAGAAAGATAAGACTAATCCTGCCCGCCCCATGTCATCGCATGGGGCGGGCAGGATTAGTGTTACCGAGAGAAGAGCTAAGGGAAGTGACAGTGCTTCCCACTGGCACGTGATGGCCGCTGACCGCCAGGATCTAGGGAGGTTATTACAGCAGTCTGGTCATGGTGGGCCGTACCAGAGCGAGGCAGAGATGTCCCCTGGGCTAAGGCTATGGGGGTAAGCACCTGGGCAGGAGTTCTCAGAGGGCGATGGGCAAGCAAGTCCACAGAGCACCTTCTCCACCCCCTCAGACCCTGTTTCTCTCCCCCCGCCCCCCTCCACTGCAGCTGACTTCAGGGACCTTTATACCAAAGTGCTTGGGGAAGAAGCTGCTTCCGTTTCCTCTGCAGATACAGGTCGGGCATGTGGCTGGTGGTACAGAGGTGGGAGGTGCAGGGCCCCGCCCAGCCCTCTCTACCCCTACGGTCCACCCACTGACACCATTCCCACCCCCACCCCCCACTGCAGGGCTCTGCTCTGAGGCCTGCCTTTTCCGCCTAGCCCGCTGCCCTTCCCCTAAGCTGCTCCGCGCCCGCTCAGCCGAGAAGCGGCGCCCTGTGCCCACCTTCCAGAAGGTTCCCCTACCATCTGGCCCTGCACCTGCCCACTCCCTGGGGGACCTGAAGGGCAGCTGGCCAGGCCGGGGCCTGGTCACTCGCTTCCTCCAGATGTCCAGGAAGGCCCCAGACCCCAATGGGAATGGAACCCGGGGACACAAGCAGGTAAGAGTCCGGGGAGCCAAGGCAGGAGGTAAAGCTAGAACGCCTGGATGAGCCAAATGGACCCCCTTGTCCTATTTTGCCTCCAGGTACCCCGGACCCCGTGGGGCCGGCCGGGCCGAGAGAGCCTGCACCTTCGTAGCTGTGGGGATCTTAGCTCAGGCTCCTCCCTGCGGCGCCTCCTGTCTGCACGGCGGCGCCTGGAGCGCAGTGCTGCCCGCCCGCACAGCCTCAGCCTCAATGCGGGCAGCCGGGAGACGGGGCTCTGACCGGCTGCTTGGCAGACTGAACAGAGCCAGGAGATGACTGTTGGGGCCACAGGCACCAGCTGGTTGGGGTCAGCAGCCCAGCCCCCACCCTCTTGCTCTAGCTGGTACACACAAAAAACCTGCTGAATCCCCCAAATCTGTCCCTGCCCCTCCTATCTCTCCGGGTGGAGGGGCTCCTGCCGCTTGCCTCCGCCCGCTCTAGCCTGGGAGAGCCTCTATCCTGTGCTGCATGGATATTCCGGCTGGGGTCGGGGGAGGTGGCCCTGCTTAACAGCCTTGGAGCAGGAAAGCCAGCAAACTCCTGGACTCTTAGCACGAGAGTGGCCTTCTGACTCGCCAGAGCCACGAGGGCCAAGATGGGGACAGGTCCCAGGGGTCAGGTCCAGGGCGTTGGGTGCCTGTGCCACGGGTGGTGAGGCATGCAGAGTGGGCACAATCCACTGGGCCTCCCAGCGCTGCCACCCCTGGCTGCATGACCTTGGGCAAGTTACTTAACCTCGATTGCCTGATCATAAAACACTGTAAGGGACGAATGTTTGTAAAGCTCCTAACCTACTAAGGAAGCCTTCAATAAATGTCAGTGTCGGCCTCGCTCCGGAGTCTTTCTTTACCAGCGGGGACGTCCGCTTTCACGTCACCTTTAAGAAGATGCTCCCAGGACACAGGCTGTTCCTTTTCCGCGGCCACTGGGTCTCTGTTCTTTTCCCAGGCAAAATGTCTTCTCTCTAGCCCTCTACTACTGGACCATCCATCCTCATCACCCACTCCCAGCAGACTCCTGCCCCTCCCTCCCCTCAGCCCTGCTCCTGGCAAGGTCCCTTGGCCAGTCACAGTTCTCACACCCAGTGTGTGTCTCACTTGAGCTCCAAGCGGCATCTTTCTTGAAAATTCCCCTCGCCTTTGAAGACGCCACCTGCTCCTCGTTTCCTCCTAGCCCACATCCTCTCTCTGGTCTTCCTGTGCCAGCTCTGACCCCTCTGCTGGGCCTTCTAACGCTGGAGGGCCCCAGGGCCCTCTCCTCAGCCCTCTTTCCCACCTCTCCATTCTATACAGGCTCAGCAGGCTTCTTAGATTTAAATACTATCGGAGGGTTAATGTATAACTCCACCCTTGCCCTTGCCCTGGGCATCTCTGCTTGCGTGCTAATGGGCATCTGAGACTCAACGTGGCCACAGGTGAACTGAGGGCCCAGCGCCTGCATCACTCCTCTTGTAGTGCTCCTATCTCAGTGACCACCACTACCGGCTGCCTGGCTGTACAAGCCCAAGCCTTAGGAATCACCGATTTTTCTTCCCCTCTCCTCGGGCACATTCAACCCATTAGCAGTACAGCCTGAACTCCTCCACGCCTCACCATGTACTTCTAAGCCACTGCACTCTCTCCACAGTTGCTGAATTGATCTGTTCTTTCTGCCCTCCTCCGTCATCCATCCTCCGTCATCCATCCCCCGTCATCCATCCCCCGGCTCAGCAGAGTAGGGGCTAACTCATGCCACAGCCAGCCCAGCTCTACCCCCCAGTGTGTCCAAACTCCTTGGCAGGCTCAGGGGCAGCCTGGCTCGCTCACTCCATGACGGAGGGGCACTGCTTGGCTGCAGTCCTTTGGGTCTTAGCGCTCCGCTCGCCTCTTCCCTGAGCGCCTCCTGACATTCTATCTCATCTCCTTCGGTTCTTGGGCGCATTCAGCACTCCCTGAGCCTATTCCCTTGTTGACTTGTCTCACCCCCTTACAGACAAGCTCCGGAGGCCAGGAGCTTCTCTGCTGCGTTGGGTCTGCCGGTAGGCACCATTCCTTGTGCGAGAGAGTCCACATGGGGTTTGGGAAGCTGTCCTCTTTACCAATGCAGATAACAGCTCTTTCTCCCCGCGAGAGCCTCTAACCTTTGTGTTTAGCAACCGGGCCCGGCTTTGAATCTGTGGTCCCTTAAGGTGCAGTAGCGTTGGTTCATTGGGACCCACGGCAACCTCGTTCACACCCGAACCAAACGCTGCCTGATCCTGTACCATGCTCACAATTGTTAGGTAGGAGGCCCCTGCCACAGTCCCTTGCGGGCCTTCCTCTTATAGGCTGCCCCTTACGGAGCATGACCTTCTTTTCCAGGGACTGGTCTCTCCTGAGAACGTGTTCCAAGGACGGGAGGTGGTCTGCCATCCTCACTTCTAAGCATCCTCCAAAGCAGATCTGTTCTTTACTGCAGTCCGGGGTGTTTTCCATACCCTGGGCCTGGCCAGGAGCAGGCAGGCCCTCAACAAGCACTCCACAAGTTATCAGAGTAGCAGGGAGGGGCATTGTAAGTAGTCTGGTGCCTCCAGGGTGCCTGGGGGGCTGGCGGCATAGTGCCCTCCTGGGAGGGAAGAGTGGAGGGAGGGGCACTGCCCAGATGCCCAGAGATGGCGTCAGGCTGCAAGCTTCTTGAATAATTCACTTCTTAACAATCCAGCAGCCAGCTCAGCTCAGGGAGGGTTGGGGTGGGGCCGGGGCAACAAAATGAGGTAGGAGGGAGTGGAGATTGGGGTTCCCACTGGGATCATTTCTGAGCACTGAATGTTCCCTCTCCGGAGGCTCCCGAAGGAAGAAGCTCAGGAAGCCTGCTCAGCTCCAGGCGGCAGGACTCCAGGAGGGAATTCATCCACCCACCCCCGCAGCCCCACCTCCTTCCTTGCTGGGATGTGGTAATGGATGGACAGCGAGGCGCATGCGTGTTCTCGGAGAGGCCCCCGCCCCGCGTGCACGCGCACACGCTCCATCTAACCTCGGCCGTGCTGCAGCCTTGCACCTGCCCGGAGTAGGACCCGGGAGACCCGGGAGGGGCAAGGCGCCGTCGGGCGAAGTGGCCGGGGCACCGTTTGGATCTGAACCCCCCGCTCGCGTTTGCACGGCCCCCTCCCCGCGTCACCCTCCTGTCGAGGAGGCCGCCTGTGACCGATGACGAGGACGCGGGCTTCCAGGGCTTCCATGCACTCGCTGTCGTGGGGGCGGAGCGAGGGGAAGGCTGCACATTCGGGCATTTTCAGTCCCACGCTCCGAGATGGAGACGAGGGGAGTGGCGGGGCACGAGGGGCTTCCGCGCGGGCACACCAGCATGATGCTGGGTGCCTGCACTGACATTAAGCCACGAACTGGGCACTTTATTCTCTGGCCCCATTGCCCCTGGGAGGACCGGGTGGACACGCTGGGTCCCTAGGGTTTTTCTAGGAAGCTGACTCTCGGTCTTTCTCCCGCAGAGTAGCTGACGGCACCAAACACCGACCTTTTAGGTGACCGGCCGGCCTTTTTCTTTCTTCCTTTAACTTCTGATGAATTAGGTGAAGGTTGGCACGGTTCAGCTCACCCTTGGCAACCCCCTCAATGTGCCACTGCTTATCCCACTTCCCCCGGGGCTTCCAGTTTCCGTGCCTCCTCCGCTAACCTCTATACTTGGTCCTTCGGTGAACGCTGCCTTTGTAATCTCAGCCCTTGGTTTCTAAACAGAGGTGGCAGGGCTTGAGTTCAATTCCAGACGTGAAGTCTCCAGCTCGCTTCCACCAGTCTCTGTCTGAGCAGTAAGCCTGGTCTCCTTTATGATTCGGGGTTTTGTTCCACATTTTTCTCCCACTCTACCTAGGGCTTTCTAAGGTGGTCCCTTTCAGAGCACGAGTAGCCAAGCACTAGTTCTTCTGTTCCCAGGGTGGTAGAGGCTGATGTTTTTATGATGTGTGTGTGTGTGTATTTAACCTTCACTATTTTTTAAAATTTCTTTGTTAATAACTCGTTGTATTGGGGGCTCTTACAGCTCTTGCAACAATCCATACTTCAATTGTATCCAACACATTTGTACATATGTTGCCATCATCATTTTCAAAACAGTTTCTTTCTCCTTAAGCCCTTGGTAAAACTTCACCATTAAAACTAATGTGAGTGGCGAAGAAAGCTGATGGTGCCCGGCTATCAAAAAGTATAGCGTCTGGGGTCTTAAAGGCTTGAAGGTCATCAAGTG